TAATAGTCTCCCATCCTTGATGTCATTGTTACTGTTAGGGAAATAGATGCTGTGGTTTTGAGTCGTCAAGGTGAACTCCTTTCATCATGCCTTTTTCCTACAGTTTGACTATGTTTTGTTGAATTGTCACTTTTAGAGAAATCAATGATGTGGTTTGAGTCCACATCAAGGTGGACCCCTTTTGCCTTCCAACAGTACCTAATGACTCTATGTCATTCATCCATCCTTTCTAGAATTCTTAAAGCTAGGGTTAAAAAATCAGAACAAGAAAGACAATTCCATTATTCAAAATCTCATCCAAAGTATGGCTAAATCGAGAGTAGAAGTTGTGTGGTATTGGACTTCTCCAAAGAGAAGTACAATCAAGTGTTTCGAAAAGAGTGAGCCTATTCTGCTTCGTGCACAAAGTATGTTATGATTTTTTTGACCTCCTCAAGGTACAGTCCTTTTGAATATTCATACCATCCGAGCTTCACAGCAACAACTACAATGGGGTTTTTGGCAAGTGGGGCAGGAAATGTTCACTCTTCTGAAACACTGCAACTTCATGATTGAATGGATACCTTTAAAACACCTTTTTGTTTTTCGGTCTTCAACTCGACACCCCTTTCAGAGAGTTCACAATGCTTATATTGTTTATCTACTATTTCTGGTTAAGACAGTCAGTACATTGCTGTGTCCAACATAATCTACAAAGGACACTGAAACACATGTAAAGAATGTTTACCTCTATTTTTAAACGTAAGATGACAATTTTTTACCTGAAAGATGTATGTAAACAATAGCCCCCTTGCTGATATAACCTGTCATAGTGAGTTAGTGTAGGTTATCACTCATTTCATTGACATGTGTGGGAAATAGGTAAGGCTTAATATAGTAGCCTTGCTCTATACCTTATCCCTTATTCTTGTAAACTGTCATAGAGAGAAAGGGTTTTATTTCTTCAAGTTCATTGACATGTGTGAGAAATAGGTAAGGCTTAATATAGTAGCCTTGCTCTATACCTTATCCCTTATTCTTGTAAACTGTCATAGAGAGAAAGGGTTTTATTTCTTCAAGTTCATTGACATGTGTGAGAAATAGGTAGGGCTTCAAATGTTCTCCTTGGTGTTTACCTTATTGCTTTTACTTGTAATATGTTCTAAGGTTAAGGTTCAATTTAGTTTGATACGAATGAAAAAAAAGGCAGGGATTTAAGATTTTAATTCTTCAAGTTCATTGACAAATGAGAAATAGGTAGGGCTTAAGATGTTGTAGCTTACCTTAATGAGCTTTCACCAATGTTCTCAATCTCAATAGGATTTACACCAGTAGATTAATACAGTGAATTAGAGCCGTCAATTACATCCTCTTCTATTTCAATTGACCCAGACAAATAAGCCCCTATTCTTATAAACTGTCACAGTTTGTTTAAATAAAACTCATTTCATTGACAGGCATGAGGAAAAGGAAGGGCTAAAGATGTTCTCCTTGTTACAAACCCTTTTTATAAATTTTGTCTGTATATTGTCTCTTTACTAGGACCTTAACAGAGTCTGTTGAATATCATTCATTGACAAGTGTGACAAATGGGAAATAAAGCTTTTTATGTGCAGAACAGTAGGATGTAAAGCTCCATTTCATTGGTAAGGTTGATGACTTCATATGAAAGAAGTCTTGGCCTAAAGAGAGGTATATTAGTGTACAGAAATGTTGAGTGTGGCCTAATGAATGTATATAAAGTAGACAAGAAGGTCAAGCTAACTATAAAGTTGTATGAAAGAGTAGTTTTAATACAAGAGATATGCCCAAGGCTATTGGAGAAAGTTGATTGTCAGTGTGTGTGTATGTTGGTCGTGGCCTGATGCAGAACAAACAGTCTTCCGTTTATCCGTCAAGGTACGTGTAAACTGTGGACATGTTGCCTCACAATATCACGATTGTTTGACAAGTTTAACAATATGGATTGAGAAGGGAGGACTGTTCGATTTTGCCTGATCTTTAAATTTTAAGAAATCTGTGCTGGATTTTGAATTGTTTTTGAAGTCTTGGGAATTTATTGCTTTTGGATTATTTGACATTTAAAACATCTTTACGAGGTAAGCTTACACTGAGAAAGACTGACCAAAGTCATCAACTTTATAACTGTTCTTGAATTTCTGAAAAATTACTTACACAGTTATGAGAATTAATTGCCAAA